AACTGCTGGCAGTTGTCAGAATTAGCCCAAAATACTGCATTCTAACCACTGCCCTATTTATTCCCTTCCTTCACAGTTATAGTTTGGGAATGTCTCCATGTGATTATGCCACCTAATTAATAGGAATTATAGGAACTTGCTTTACAAATCAAGGAAGACTTTGGATAAATATTATTAATAAACAAAATATATACATATGTAATTATGTGATAGTCCATTATTAACATGCTCATATTACATAGGGATTTTGAAGCCAAAAAAAGCTTGGTTCACTAAGTTCACTAAACTCTTGTTTTTAAGACTTGTTGAACAAACTTCAATTAAGTTCAAATAAAGTTTAGACATCAAGGAAGTCATAAAATATGGTTTAAAAATCACACATACAGTCAGAAACATTATTCTGCTTAGTGAGATATATAGCATATGCCCAATTAGAAGAAACTGGGCCAAAAAAAATCAGCGATAAGTTAAAAGTTGTGTTTCTCAACTTTAAGAACTTTAAGATGTATGGATTGCAAGTCCCAGAATTCCTCAGAAAGGCTGAGGAATTCTGGGAGATGAAGTCCATATATCTTAAACTTCCAACGGTTGAAAAAGTCTGAGTTAAAGTATAACTGTTATCCAAAACTATCAGGTTACAGCAGTTATATCACCCAAGAGACATAAGCATTAGTATTGGTATCTCTTCAAGCCACCAAGCTTCTGCTTTACCATCTAAGGAAGATACGCACAATATTTCAGGAATAACAAAGAATAAGAATTTCAGCCATCAGTAGCTGCAATCTCTTATACTCCTGGAATGCCAGATTCAGTATTCATGAGTGACTGCTACTTGCCCATTAAAACATGACTGTCTAGGTTCCCAGTATCTCCATTCATAACTATTTCAAAAAGACAGCTAAGTGCGGTAACAGTTAACCTTACCATCATTCAACAAGCCATTTTGCAGATGGATTCTAGCTGAAGTTCTAGTGTCATTTTAAATTTAGAGAAGAGACCCTGAACAGGAGGATAATAAATTTTATACACATATTTGATCTTCAGAAATTATTGATCTGAGGGGGAATAAAAGCAAGTGACTATATCTGAATCATCCACTTCATGAATTGTCAATGTGAGTATCCCATTCTCATCTTAGGCATTTTTCTAAACTTGGAAAATACATTTAAGACATTGGCTATGCTATTTTTCTTTAAACCTAACAGCAACCTAAATTCTGAAATAGTTGCCAATATATTAAGTTATGATGAAACGGGATGTCTTTTTAATTTCTGTATTCAACCCTCTCCCCTATATGGTCCTAAATCAGGATTCCCCAGTCTAGATGTCCTTTAAATCAGTGTTCCCTTTCTAGCTCCACAGACTGGAGGTGTTGGGGAAGGGAGGGATGGTTCCATGCACAACCTGGACTCAATACATGTGCAAATAAAGCTTCACACGCTCGCCCACCATTCCCAATAGGCTAAGAATCAGTACTGATCTGCAGCCCAGGGGTTGGAGTCTCCTGCTCTAAATGTGTAAATTCCCCATGAAAAAAGGATTTTTCTTCTTTTATTAACTCAAGCAAATAAATATCAACATAAAGGCTGAAAGAACACACATCTTAAGATTTAGTTCACATGTAACACAAAAGCAGTGTTCATGAAACATGAATATGCTGCAGTAATTTATCTAAAATATTTATAAGCTGCTTTTTTAAGTCAAACTATTGGTAGCTTTTAATATATACAATGCAATATTTTAAAGTAATACATCACTAAAGTACAGTTAAATAGGCAAGTATGATAAGCTATAATAAAAGAGTGATTACGTTTACAATCAAACCAATCATGAGAATCTATAATCATACCCCATACAATAATCCAAGAAGATATGGGTCTTTATAGCCTGCTTAATTGACTTCAATATTACAGTAATGCACATGCCAACTATGGCTGTTTGAACACTAATGACCACAGCATCTTCATAGCACAATCCAGCCATTCCTGGTGTGATTTCAAATCTATTCTTAATATTTCTGTTTTTTTTTTTAGCACAATGATAGCTTGATGACTCTAGAAAGTGCTGGAATCACTAGGGAAAAACAATCTAGAAAACATCCAGAGATATTACCTTGAAAGATTCTGTCTTGCCCTGGCCACTAAAAACTGTCCATCATTGACAAGGGAGCATTACTTCATCAATCTAATCAGTACAGGGAGTCCAGGACTTATGTTGTTTAGCAACCATTCAAAGTTATGATGGACCCTGAAAAAGTAACTTATGACACATATTCAACATTCTGATAATTGGGCCCCACTCTGTAGTCACATGACCGCGTTTTGGGCACCCTCACACATTTACAACTATTTGCGGTATCCTGCAGTCATGTGACTGCAATTCACAACATTGTTGCTGGAAGCAGGCATTTATTTCCAGTTTCCAGCAAAAAATACCCCACAGCAAACAATGGGTTGGTTCAACAATTGCTGAGTTTGCTTAAGGACCACCAGAAAAAAGCTCATAAAATTGGACATGGTCATGTGATGACCTGTTTAATGACTACCACAATTTAGCAATCAAAATTGCAGGCTCAATTACAGTTGGAAGTCAAGGACTACCTGTATGGTTTAGATTCTTCTTCCATATTTACATAGAGTGATGGGCAACTCTGCAGATAGACATGGTTCCTGAATCTCTTCTTTGTTATCCAGGGACCTTTGTATGATGCTGCTAAGTTGCAGGAGCACCATACTGAAAATCAATGCAATGGTTTCCTGCCATTTTAAGAAAGGCAAACATGAAAGTGCAGTGTAAGTCTTGGAAAAAGTTTAATGTAGAAAAATCCATCTCCTCAACACAGAAACAATGGAAAATTCTGGCCATCCATCACTTATTTTGCATCATTATCATTTCACAAACAGCCTTTGCTTCCTTTCAAATGTTTACTTTAGTCTACTCCAATCTTAAAATCCCTCTTACTACCATACGTTTTATTATCAATAGTACACAAACGAACAGCTTAGTGAAAACAGCAACCTGATAGAAGCATACAATCTTATATAAGCTATGGTTTAACTAAACTCTCCCACCATAGTTACCCAGAACTTGTACCATCCTAGCAGAATGGTCTACCTTTGTTGTATAATGTATTTAAAACATTATTATTCATACCATCTTTCACCTATAGAATCTCCAAGTGGCTCTTAGAAATATTGAATTATTTAGACACCAATTAATGTATTTAATAGCATAATTCTATATGCAGAACTGTGTTTAAAGTCTAGTTAGACTACGGATGGAAAGCCTAGATTCAAATCCAATATCAATCATGGAAACTCACTGTGTTTTATTTGGCCAATCACAATTGTGATCTAGTGAGTATATGACTCAATTAATTGAACAAATAACTCAACCTACCACATAGGGTTGTTATTTTGACAATAACACTGAAGTGTTATTGCATAGGGAATACAGTATCTTGACTTTCTAGTGGAAATGCAGGATATAAATCAAAATTAATTGTTACAATCAGCCTAAAAGATATATTTTCTCCACAATTAATTCTTTGTTAAAGGTAAGAGAGCTATGGGGAAAAATAAATGCTCTGCCTTGATGATGTCTGGAAATTCAACAGAATTACATCTCTGTTTTTAAGATTTAAACTAAACATTTTAAAGATACCAAGTTATGTACAAAATCCTGAAATATGTATTAAAGCAAAATGCTAAATATAAAATTTGTTTACTTCAACAGAGTTCCAATGTTTGTGAGATAGTGCAGTTTTTCAGATTCAAAAGAAAAAAGATGCTTGGAGTGTCTTTTGCAACTCCTTAAAATTTGCTGTATCTTTTCCTAAGTGTCTTCTCCAACCAATAGGCAAGCCCTGATAAACACATGTTGGTTAATACTAATTTATTTTATAGAACCAAGTTTCACACTGATGGGTTTTGGTCACAACAATACAAAAAGGATATTGAGGTCCTAAAACAAGTGCACAGAAGACCTACAAAGATGATAAAGGGCCTGGAAGCAAAATTATATGAAGAACAGTCAAGCACTGGATATGTTTAGCTTAACAAAGAGAAGACTTTCCAAGGACTGCCAGAGGGACAAGGGCAACCATTTATTTTCCACAGCACCTGAGATTAGAACAAGAAGCAAAGGGTGAAAACTTGTCAGAGGGAGATCCAAACTGGAAATGAGGAGGAACTTCCTAGCAGTGAAAACCATTAAGCAATGGAACAGCTTTTTAAGTTTGCCTCCAGGTGTTGATGGATGCTCCATCACTGGAGGTTTTCAAGAAAATATTGGACAACCATTTGAGCCGTAGTGGCACAATGGTTAGAATGCAATATTGCAGGCTAATTCTGCTGACTGCGACTGCCCGCAGTTCAAGTCTCACAGGCTCAAGATCAATAAAATGAGGACCCAGATTGTTTGGCATCATATGCTGACTCTGTAAACCACTTAGAGAGCACTATGAAGCACTATATAAGTCTAAGTGCTATTGCTATTTGCAGAGATGTATGAGGCCTCCTGTCTTGGGCAGGGGGTTAGACTAGAAGACCTCCAGGGCCTCTTCCAACCTTACGAGTCTATAATTCTAGAAACTTGACAAGATATGTTTTATCAGTTTGCTGAGTAAACTATAACTGAGTTCACACAACACTCTAAGCCAATGTTTCTCAACACTTGTCACTGGTTGGGGAATTCTGGGAGTTGGAAGTCCACCCACTTTAAAGTCGCCAAGGGCTGAGAAACACTGCTCTATGTTGTAGACCAAATTTAATAACCTACAGATCTTCACACAGCATGCTACAACGTAAAACAAGCCCACCTCATTTAGGCTTGGTGGGGTGGGTGAATCCTGCAGTTTAGCAAGGGCCGGATTGTAACATCATCTCTCTCAAGGCACCTCGTGTCAAGAAGGGCTGCTGCCTTTTCACCCAAGATAATGGGGCTATCAAAGCAGGATGCCCATCCCATCCCACTCCTGCCAGGTTTCCCATTTCGCTTACCAGCCCGTCGATCTGCACTTGCTTCACCGTCGAGTCCCCAGGGCCCGATTTGGCTTTGGCTTTCCCGCTAACGACTGCGGAACCTCCGGCTCCGCTTCCTTCCTTACGAGACGCCATGGCGAAAAGAGGCAGCGAGCACACTGTCGGGAAGGAAAGAAGAAGGGAGCGTGCTCCAGACAAAATCTTCCGGGTAAGGGACTGGAAACACTATCCCGAAAAATAAGGTTCCGCTTGAAGAAGCCCAAGCGTCAGTAAGCCGGCACTGGAAATTAGAAGATTGGAAGGATCTATGGAGTTTCTCAGTCATGCAGGTCATGGTTGTCCCAATGGTGCTTTTTCAGGAGCGAAACATCTTCAAAGAAAAACAAGAAAGTCCAGTTGTCTCCTGAAAAAGCATCTTTGGGATACCAGCCGAGGGGGGCTGATTTCTCAGGAAAGATGCAATAGGAACGGCTCACAACCGCGTAATATTATTAATACGGGATGCGATAAAATCTTGCTAAGAGTGGAAAATCACTTAATGGCATTCAAATCAATCGATTTGGAGTACAACGTTTCGTTTACACGATTCTGTTAGTTCACTTAACCAGTAGTCCTCTGGGCCCATCAGCCTTTTAAAAATGATTATGAACTAAGAAAAAGTTTTAAGGGACAGCCCTTTGAATCCCCCCACTTGGTCCTCCGTATATTGAAATTTCAAGTCCCCGAATTCTGTTCTAGCATGGTTATAATTATTTTATTCCTTTTGGAATAAAAAATTTGCTTTTGCTGCAAGAGGGGAGGCCGCTACACTTCAGAAACGAATCTAAAGGATATCGCTGTTACCCTTGCAATGTCAGAGTCAAATTAAGAGCCCAGTTTTAGATAATGTATCTGCTCCCAATTGCCTGGACAATAACATACAACAGAATGAATAAAGCCATCCACTAAAAATACCAACATAATTACTCTGCTTTTATTACCAACAGAAAGTTACCTTTTCAACTTTATTTTATTAAATATAGAATGCATTGTGGATTTTTTTTATGAGCAAGTTAAAACTTTCTGCGCCCAGTAGCTGCTATCCGAATTTTTGCAGCCTGGTTCTTAGTTCTTGTCAGAACTATTTCCCCACGTGTTTCAGGCAGGAGCATTGCGCATGCGTCGATGTGGTCTCTCCTTCCGTTAAACGATCCAACCAAACTTCCGGTTAAAGGAAGAGACGGGTGTATGCTTTGTGAGGTTGTTTTTGTATGTTTATTCTCCTTCGGCTTCCGTTATGAAGATCACCCGGCAGAAGCATGCCAAGAAGAACATAGGTTTCTACAAGAACAATTTTGGTTTCCGGGAGCCTTTCCAGGTGCTGCTGGACGGCACCTTCTGCCAGGCTGCGCTGCGAAACAAGATCCAGATACGCGAGCAGTTGCCGGGTTACCTAGCCGGAGCCACGCAACTCTGCACGACGCGGTGAGGGAAGTGGAGGAGTTAGTGGGGGGGCGCACCTCGATTGGCTGAGAGGAACAAGTGACAGGAGCGCGAGACGGTGCTACAGAAACGCGCACGCGCGCTCTGTTCCTTTGGATGGGTGGCCGGCGGGGGCCACGCGAATTCTTCCAGCAGCCTGGGATTGGCTGATGGAAGAGCTCTGCGCAATAGGGGCGAACTCGCAGAAGTCCTTGCGAGGCAGCGGGGGGGACGGGGATCATGCGCAGATTCAGCAGCAGTCACTTTTGGGAGGATGGGTTAATCAGTGTTTCTCAACCTTGACAATTTTAAGGCATGTGGACTTCAACTCCCAGAATTCCACAGCCAGCAATGCTGGCTGTGGAATTCTGGGAGTTGAAGTCCACATGCCTTAAAATTGTCAAGGTTGAGAAACACTGGGTTAGATTATATACCCATGGGACATAGAATAGAATAACAGCGTTGGAAGGAAGGGACCATGGAGGTCTTCTAATCCAACCCCCTGTTCATGCAGGAAACCCTATATCATTTTAGACAAATAGTTCAATCTCTTTTTAAAAACTTCCAGTGTTGGAGCATTCACTGCTTCTGAAGGCAGGTTGTTCCACTGGTTAATTGTTCTAACTGTCAGGAAGTTTCTCCTTTGTTCTAAGTTGCTTCTCTCTTTTGTGTTCTCCTTTTACCAGATGTTGGTAGTTTTGGCTATGTTAAAAGACAGACAAAGTATAGATGTTAATAACAAAGGTGCCTATGTTGGGGACAAGTGTCCAAACAATCAAGAATGTGGAAGCAGTATCAGGCTGCAAGTTGTGCAGAAGCAATGGTACTTGCCTCTTGATGCTCCTTCCATCCTTGTCTGTTTTGACATCTACCCACCCTCACCTTCACAAGGACGTTTCTGATCAATTATCTTTTACTGTCCCCGTCCTACTTTGTGAGGCATAATGAGAGTGGATGATAAATTTGAATTTCTTTATCCCATATATAGCAAATTCTACCATTTAGGCACGGGTGTCAAACTCGCCACGTCACGAGACGTGTTGTGATGTATTGTGACTCTTTTTGCATTGCCGGCAATGGGGTGGGCCCGGCTTCGGTATGATAAAACTGGCCTGCTGGTTTGACACCCCTGATTTAAGGGCTCAAGTGGTGCTCCTATTTTCCCCAGAGCAAAATGCTTTGTTGTTACAACTATCCTGTGAGATACTTTGGGCGAAAAGAGGGTGACTGGGCCAAAGTCACAGAATGATTAGTAGATAGTATTATGCTATGTTACTATGTTGCATGCTATGTAACACATTGATTTCATATCAATTACTTGATGTCCATTGGACATGAGCAACTTGTAATTTCAAATAAATAAAATGTCCTTGATACATGTTCTTTATTTAAATATTTACATGTCACTCATCTTAAATAAAACTCTAAGTAGTTCACAACCCAAGAATAAAAAACATGTATAAATAATAAAAGGAAAGCAGTAAAACCAAAACAGATGAAATAAGTCACGTAATGAAATCATATTTGATTTTTTTTTTCATTTTTGATGTATTTGTGTCTTTCAGTACATACACATATGTATTTAATTTCCTGGGAATATATTTAATTTCCTCTATATATATTTTAAGAAATTTCATTCCATTTTAAACTATAAGAAATATAGGCAATCATTGCCTAGTGATCACTTGTTCAGCAACCATTCAACATTACAACAATGCTGAATAAAATGTATGGCCAAGCCTTGCAGTTGTGGCTGTTGCGGCATCCCCTGCAGTCATGTGATCATGATTTGGATGTTTATCTGGAGTTAGTTGGCTTCTGCCTTAATTCCAAAAAGACATTGGCACCTGCCATTTATGGTCAGATTTCCCTATAGATGTAGACTTTTGATATAATTAGACTTCTTGTTAAAAATACAAAATAAAGTGTTGTGCTTTTTTTCTCACCATATTTCCTTTTAGATGTGTGCTAAAAGAATTGGAATGCTTGGGGAAAAAGTTATATGGTGCAAAACTAATTGCCCAGAGATTTCAAGTTCGCAACTGCTCTCATTTCAAAAATCCAGTGAGTGGTTCAACCTGTCTATTATCCATGGTTGAAGATGGTAATCCACACCATTATTTCATAGCTACACAGGTAAATTTATTTCACTTGAACATATTTGAACAAAATGCGCTATTTGTGACCTGCACTAAAAATATTCATTTGTATTCTTCTACATAACCTTGAATAACTGTGTTATTAGACTTTGTTCAGATTTCAAAAAAAAAAAAAAATCCTCTTGCTACAATGAATTCATTACTTCCCAACTACTTATTTTTAATTGTTAAGATAATTTGCTGTCCTACTTGTGTTACATTTACATATAGTGATAGCTACTTTACAGCTGTAACACATACAATCTTAGGTCAATTATATATTTAAAAAAGTTTAATTACATTTTAGTAAAATCATGGGCTGAGGGAATATAATTAAAGTTTCTTATTGTTCTGTGAAACATATTGTGTAGTCTGCACTCACCTGCATTTTGTAATAGACTCTTTTTGTTTGTGTTTTACTTTTTAAAAAAATAGGACCAGCACCTGGCCACAAAAATAAAGAAAAGGCCTGGAATCCCTCTGCTATTTATAATTCAGAATACAATGGTTCTGGACAAGCCTTCTGCCAAATCTTTGGCTTCAATACAGGCAATGCATACAAGCCAGCTTATTCCGGACCACCATAAACAGACCATTGCATTTCTGAAAGAGAAAAAGGGTCTTGTGAAAACTTCAGAACCCAAAAAAAGGAAGCGGAAAAGGGCTGCTGGACCAAATCCTCTCAGCTGTCTGAAGAAAAAGAGAAAAACTGAAGAATCCCAACAGTCTTCCACATCTAAGAAAAAGGGAAACCGGAAGCGCAGTAAAAGGAAATCAGACACTACAACTGCAGCTGTCCAAGATACAAAAGCATAATGTTATTCTGAAAATTCGATGTGCATTTCTATTTTGTGGACTTTGGATATGTAGTTAATGCTGTTTGAAAAATAAATCATACTTTTAAAAAAAAAATAGTTTACCATGTATGTCATGTTGGTGCCATGGGGAAAAAGAACTCTTCAGAACAAACTTTATATAAAGAGGCTATGAGGTTAAGAAGTTTGGTACTTTTCAAAACAGAAAGAAATGTGAAGAGGATGGCAAAATAATCATTATATGAAGACGTCACCCAGGTTAAATTCAGGATAGGAACATGCTACTAAGACTGCAATGGAAATAAGGCAGATTTTTATATGTTCAGGGATAAGAAAAAGCATTCTAGCCAGCTCTCTATTCCCCCCACCCCAGGAGTTCAGGAGAAGCAGCTGCTTTGAATTGGTTGTTATTTCAAATGAGAGCAGTAAAAACTACATTAATCCACCTTTGATTTACTTTGTGTGAATCAAGAATCAGGAAATGCACCCATATTTTTGTGCTTCTTATGCAATAAAATGCAGTTACTTTTAAGATCTAGGAAAAACAAGCTTGTTTTAAGCATCCAAGCTACCACACAGTTGCCCCTTTATGCTCTGACTCACATTTCTCCCTTCAGATTTTCCTGGACTAAAATAGCTTATAAGTGTGTTTTCTTCATTTAGAGATTTTCATATGATAGAATATTGTTTTAACTTCTACTGATTCTTTGGTGTGGAGAATATCTCTTGTGTTCTGGCAGTTTTTTGAAGGATGGTGCAGAA